CTTGAATAGGAATTGTCTACTTGAAGTCAATCCTTCCCAAATCTTTCATTGAGACAGATGTTGCAGCTGAAGAGACATGATTAGCAAGCGTCAAGAAGTTTCTTGAACACGATTGAAACTAATGAAGTCCATGTGCCACCAAGTGCAAGGAGCACAGAAAAGATCTAGAATGGGGTTTTCAAAGCTTTTATGAGAACTTAGGGACAAAAAAGGAAATGTATTGCCATTCTAGGCAAAGCTAAATCTCATTTTCTTAAAGGTTAGCTGATTTTGAAGCATCAGATTGAAGTGTAACATACCCTTCCTCTTTGAGCTTCATTTTCTCCCTTCTTACAATCTTACTGGCCCAGGGGCATCCAAAGGAGAGGTAAGAAAAGTCAAGATGGTGACTACAATCAAAGGCCTGTGGCACATGCAAAAAAGGGGCAGGGCTTTGATTGCTCAGATACCATCTTCTTTTACCCCCATGAATATTCCTGGAAGTAAGCAGTTCATAAAACCCTTTCTTGTTTTGCTGTTAATCAGCTTAGAATTAAGTTATGCACAGGTTACTTACAGCAAGAACAGAAGTGTTGCTACACAGGAACCCGTGGAGTCATTGGAAATAGGATTAGATGATTTGGGGTGCGGATGAATTGGATAAAAGAATCAGAGCCAAACATTGTCATTTAACTTGATAACATTGATCAAGTTATCAATCAAATCTTTATTATGGGCAAAGACCAGCATATGAGCTTCAAGTTAGTCAGCCACATTAGAAACAATGCTATGCACTAGAGATGTGCAGATGTCCTGAATTTGGAAGACTTGGCAAAACATGTCTCAAGCATATTGGAAGTGCCTCAACCTCAAAACAGAATCCTGTGCTCAAGCTGGGCTTCTTGCTAGCTCAAAATGCCTTCACAAATGCACAACAAACATGAACGTGTTTCAAAGTTGAAATAATCCATTTCAAAAGCAAATTCTGGAGTGTGCATGTCATGACCTGGCTCAGGACCTTATTAGAGAGCAGTGGGCTAAAGCCAGTGATTCCATATGCCAAGATCCCAACTCTGGACTGATTCTTTCACAGATGTGATAAATAAAAGTCAATAATGGTGCTAGTAGCATATCTGGGTGGGATGGGGGGTAAAAAAAAAAAGTGGCTACAATTTCATAATTGAAGTCCTGCCCTTTTGTATCTTTGTCTGCATGAGACAGAAATGAAAAGGGGTGAGGCTTCAGTTGTGAAGTCATGGCCACCATCTTGACGCATATACACTCTTGGCCTATGAATGCCCCTGAGCATATATCACAGTTTGGCCTTCAGATTAAGAGGGGAAAAGTGCTAGAGGGGATGGAAAAGGTCAATGAAACAAGTTCTGGACGAGTTTGATTATGCACTAAATTCTTTGCTTGAATATCTTTCTGTAGTAGAAAATAAGAAATATCATTCTTTTTGCTTAATGTGAGTAAAAGAGCCTTACTTTTTACTGACTGTATTGATGCTGAATAACACCGGTCCTATTCACACAAACTGTTTTGTATTACTTTACCTGCCTGTTCAGCTATTTGACTTTTTCAACTATTTGTGGTAGAAATAAAACTTTTTTTTTTTGCTTAAAATGTGTTGAGTTCTTTATTCATTAATATTGGGTTAAAATCAATTGGATGGTATTCTCCCATTTTTCTCTCCTGTTTTTGTGTTGAATGCTTTTTCAAGATTAGGTACAAAGAGAAAACTAAACATGTTTAAGCCAAGTAGTTCAGAATGTCACTGAACAGCTTTTCTGTGGGAAATGTCCTTTTTCCTTTTGCAACAAGATGGATAGCCCAGTAATAAGAGTTGGATTCATTTTACAAATGCATCTTCAGAAATTGGCATTCTTGGTCCCCCCAAATGGAAGCTGACATTTTTAGCTTTTTACTAAAAGCTCCTCTTCCAGAGAGGAGTCCCTTCCTTTAGTTCCCCACTCTGCCTTTTTGGAAGAAGCAGGGGCTTCTCCATGGCCTCCATTTTGAGGGCGACGGAAGAGAAGAGAGCAGAGGTGACTGGTAACCACACCACAACTGATCAGGACCTCCTGGGCATCCAAGAACAAGAGGAGTGATGTTGGAACTAGCCCAGTTCACCAGCTGCAAAGACTGGGCCAGACTGGGAAGCAACACCCCAGAGTAGTGAACAGCAGTGTTGACGACAAGGTTGCCTGCAAGGAAACAGGACCAAGGGCTGCCTGGAACCCTCCCCCCACAATGGATGGGGACAGCAATCTCTTGCAGCTGGATCCATCACAGCAGGACAGATGCTATCAGTGGGGGTTGGAGATAGCTAAATTAGAGAAGTGTGTGAGTAAAGTCAAGTGTCTAATGCCCAAGCATTTTGCATTTCAGAGACCCTTACCAATATAAATATGACACAGTATGTTTATATTGTCATTTTCAGCAAAGGGGAAGGGAAGAAAGGAGAGCATTTTTTAAAAACCTTGTAACCTGCAAGAATCAAATCAAGGGTAAGTATTCTTTAAAGCAGTGTTTCTCAACCTTGGCCACTGAAGATGTGTGGACTTCAACTCCCAGAATTCCCCAACCAGCCATGCTGGCCGGGGAAATCTGGGAGGTGAAGGCCACCACACCCCCTGGGGCCAAGGTTGGGGGAGATTGGTTTTAATACAAGATGGGGTGTATTTTTT